GGGGAGGGTTCAAATGGGGATCCCAAGATGGGATACAGACGACTCCGTTTCTGTTGTACCTAGGTAGGCATGTCGTGTCACCCGTTGCCGTACGGTCCTTCATCCACTGCGAGGCTTTAAAGTTCATCCATTCATACGAACGTTCATTCATGAAAGCTATCATCAAATGATGCTGTCGGCAGTCATTGCATCTTCCACTGCCAGGCCATATACATTTGCTCACTGCATTGAGTCATCGTAGCCCGAACTCCAATTCCTCACATAATAAACAGAAGGTCGGTGTCTAGATGTTCATGTCAGCAATTTATTGAAGAGGGATATTAAAAAAAAAAAAAATTAAAAAAAGAGGCTTACCGATCGGATGACTACTCGACAGTTGTGGCTTCTGGGTATACTTCGTCTCCAGAATGTCACGAACACTGTTGAGCAATTCGACATAACTCTGCTTAGGATTTGCCTTGATTGCTGAAATGAATGCCCACGACATGGCGCCTGTTGCCTGAGCATTAATCGTGGCATCGGCTCTGCAAAGACGTTAGTGTTACCTCATGAAATAAGTCAATCAACTCACGATGTCTGGTCATCTTTGCTTCCTGACCACATGATAACATCGGCAGGCGATGTTCGCGTGTCCTTGGTCTTCTCGTACGCATCGTCACCTCGGAAGGCGGTCTTCGCCAAGCCGAAAACAGAGCCAGCGGCGCCCGCAATATCTCCACTAGAGTATGCTCTAAAGGCGTCGAAGAGGCCTGAAGCAGCTTCCTTGGCCAGGTTGGGTTCCTTGAGAACACCCTTTGTTGAGTAGACGTATGGGAGATCCATGACCGTGGCTGAATGGCACGAGTCAAAAATGGCAGTGAGACGGACACCCTGCACCAAGGGCTTCACGACACGGAAATGAATCTCATCATCGACTATGGGGCCAGCTTCGCTGTGGTCAACGGGGTAGATGCACTCATCGTATCCGTCATCTTCGTCGCCATCCACGTCTTCGACCTGACCACCGTGACCTTGAAGAGCATGTTAGATAGTTCCGCTCAAATGACTGCATGGACTCACCAGAGTAGTGGAGGAACAGGGCATCGTTGGGCTGAGCGTTTGACACAAGCCAGCCCATGGCGCGAATCATGTTTTCGCGGGTAGGAATCATGGCTGGGTTGGATTGATCATCGGTCAGAATGACCATATCCTCTCTCTTGTAGCCATATCGCTCAACAAGGAAGGCAGACACGTTGTGGACATCGTTGATACAACCTCGAAGCTCTCCCTCTTGGTTGAAGTAGTTGATACCAATCAGAAGAGCCTTGCGACGACCAGTACAATTAGAATATTGAAAAGTATAGCCTTCGGGGGCTCCGTGTCCGAACTGTTGAGGTGCAGATGGAGGAGGAGGGCCGGCTCGAGCATGCTCAGCATAGTGGTGCTGGCCTTGTGGGAGACGATAGCCGTATGCGTCGAGGCCGGGAGGAGGAGGGTATGACGGAGGAGGATATCTCTGACCTCCAGGATGACCTCCAGAATAACCGCCGTATTCTTGCTGGGGAGGAGGAGGTCCAGGAGGAGGAGCGTATCCGTAACCGCCGCCGCCGCCGCCGCCGCCTCCTTGATATCCTTGACCTGGGTAGTAGGACATGTTGACCTGCTGTGGGAGAAGCGAACTGATGCTCTGGGGCCTGCAATAGTCGACGTGGAGAATTGAGAAAGACGAAGATGCAAGAGGGAGCCCGAGAGGTTCGAGTCTTAGTCGCAGAGGAGAAACGAGCACGTAGGGTCAGCAATCAGAGCGCAGCCTCACTTCAGTCTCGCAATGGATGGAATTGAGCTCGTGGCTGCAGTTGAGCTGGGCTGCATGTGGAGGACGGGCGCTAATTGCGAGGCGGGGCAAAGTGATGGAGGGGCAGAACCTACCTAGGTAGCCCGGGAGAGGCGGGCCTGATTCATCAGCCCTGAACTCCCCTGAACTCCCCTGAAAAACTCCCTGGAAGTGACGGGAATGAGGGCTCTGGAGGCCGCTGGAAAGAAACCTCCCCCATGACACCAACGGATGGAACGCCAAGGGACCTGGATGGCCTTGGCGCTGCAAGAGCCCCTCCCCCTCACCGCAGCATCAGACGTGGATGTGTCGAGGACGAGCCAGTGAATCATTCATGGATGTCACAAGGGAATAAGATTGTGAGACGACATGAAACCCCTCATGATTTCGGGGACAAGAGAAGATCCATCACCAGCCACCGGATGTTATTCCCTTCACGATAAACATCATGGGCGGCCTCTCGCCTGCTGTGATGGTGACGCAGTATTGTATTGCCGTTGGGTGAATGAATGTTTGCTCATTATTGTTTGATATCACCGCCGTCTCATAGGGGATACAGGTAGCATATCATGACTGCTTGCAGCTTTGCTCCGCCACACTGGTGTTGCAACAACATACCCAATATTCCTTCATGCCAAATAGCCCTAGCTGCTCTAACTTAATAGATGGAGATGTGCGGACGTTGTAGTTTACGGAGTAAGTCGAAGGAGACAAACCCATAAGGTAGGTAGGTAGGCTGTTGGGCTTCATGTTATGGGAATTCGAGGCGATTGTCCGTGCCTGTCAAGCCAGACGAGGAATAAGTTGGATACTGCTTCAGTTGACTCCACGCCACTATCGATCATGTGGGGGCATTTCTCCGTGCCTTTTATGTCGCAATTGAACAATGCCAGCATGGAGTCTGTTATCGATCCTTTCGTTTGGCAGTCTTAAACATCACGCCCCAGCTTATCCGATGCGTTGACAAAACGAGGCTTGTTAAAGCCAAACGTGAACGAAGCTCCGTTGCTGTCGTAAAAAAAAGGTACCAAAGCTTAGAGCTGGTGACATTTGGCACCAGAGCGTTGCCCCGCCGGAACGGCCCGCAGGGGTCACTGGAGGTCCACTGATTGGCCACGTCGTAGCACTGTCACTGGTTGGTCCCCGAAAGCTTGAGGTTGGGTGTTGAATGGAGGGGTAAACGGGCTTTAAACGGGCCTGTTCCGCGGCTCTGAATAGGTACCTGGGTACTGAAGCTGACCGTGTTGCTTGCGCCTGTGCCTTTGCGCAGTGCGACAGCATCATATCCGTGGCTCCCCCGTACCTGTATCACTCTAACTAGAGTGCCATTAGGTTTTCACACAGTGGTACATATTCACTGAGGCACTTCCCTTCTTAGCAGTGACTCGGTAAGACCCTACGTTTCACCCCACCATCCATGCACTGTCGGCAGCTGCCAAGCATCTATGCCGACTGTCGATAACTGCGCGGGTTGCACCTAAATAGGTCCTTACCTACCTTAGGTACTCTTCACACCTCGCACCTCGCACCTCACACCTCACACCTCAGGCCTTTCGCCCTTATATAAACAGAACCCAGTCGCTCTTTTTTTTTAATCCCTCTTCTCTCTCATCTACCTTACCTCTTTTCTTCTTTCCCCCATAACTCTTGATTCTCCCAACCCCGACTTTCGCACGCCTTTGTCCGAAGTCACCCATCATGTCTTTCTTCAAGAAGATCGCCAAGGAGTTCGAGAACCTTGGTATTGGCGACAAGGACGAGAAGAAGCAAGAGGCTCAGCAGGGCTATCCTCAGGGTCAGGATAGTACGTTTTTACCGCGCGAACATTTCCTGGGGGCATGTGCTAACTCTTCTACCCCCAGACAACCGAGCCTACGGTGACGGCGGCCAACAGTACGGCGCTCCTCCTCAGCAATACAGCTCTCCTCCTCCTCAACAATACGGAGCTCCTCCCCCTCAGCAGTACGGCGCTCCTCCCCAGCAGTACGGTTCACCTGCTCCTCAGCAGCAATACGGTGCTCCTCCCCCTCAACCCGCTTATCAGCCCCCGTCCGACCGCCCTCCTCTGCCCCAAGGTTGGACTGCTCAGTTCGATCAGAACCAGCAGCGATGGTACTATGTTGAGACAGCCACTGGCCGCACTCAATGGGAGGCTCCTGGTCAAGCACCTCCCCCTCCTCCCCCGGATTCCCGTCCTCCGTATGAGTCTCAACCCTCTGACGGATCTCGTGGTTACCCTGGTGCTCCTGGTGGATATGGTTCTCCAGCTCCTGGAGGCTACGGTGGTGCTCCTGGCTATGGCGGCTACGGATCTCCTCCCCCTGGTCAGGGTGGCTACGGGTCTCCTGCTCCAGGTGGTTATGGATCTCCTGCTCCAGGCTATGGTGCCCCCTCTCCTTATGGCGCTCCTTCGCCTTATGGCGCACCCTCTCCTTACGGAGCTCCCGGTCAATACGGTACTCCCACTGATGGCGATCGCGGCAACAACCCCTACGGTCAAGGCGAGAAGAAGAAGAGCGGCAGCTCTGGAATGCTCCTCGGTGCCGCAGGTGGTCTCGCCATTGGTGCTGTTGGTGGTGCCTTGATCGCAAACGAGCTCAACGATAGTGACAGCGATCACGAGCACTCCGCTGCTGCCCCAGCTGCTGCTCCCGCTCCCCAGGTTGTCAACAACTACTACGGAGCTCCTCCCGAGGACCCCTATGCCGCCGACCCCTACGCGCAGGAAGGCCCTCCTGGTGTCCTTCCTGCTACCGACGCTGACGGCGACTCTGTCTCATCCAGTGACCGGGAAGATGTCCAAGAGGCCCGTGAAGAGTACGAAGAAGCTCTGGCTGAAGCTAATGACTCTGATGCCAGCAGTAGTGATCACGAGAGACTTGAGGAGGCTCGGGAGGAGTACGAAGAGACCTACGAGGAGGTGTATGAGGATGACTAAATGGTGCAAAACGAGCTATGAATAACGACATGTTTACGTCTAACTGTAACAGCATTGCTTTGGAGCCGTAAGGGCAAGGAAGAAGGTTGATGGATTTTTCTCACTTGTTAATACCTTAGTACACAGTACAATACCAGAGCACATTTCGTGCTGTCTGATATGCAGCACATCTTCTTTTGTGAGGGCTTGCCAGTATCGTTCCCGCGCATGTGCGTTGGATACCAACCTAGGTAATGTCTTGCATTTCTTAGGCATATGCATGGGCATGTTGGAACACGTTAGAGATGCAGCAATTACAGGCTATTGCTGTAAGTAGAAGCCGCCTTCGCTTATCGGCACCGGGCCAAGCACTGCAGACCCTCCATTGCAGGGCATTTTTTGCTGTGTAACAGCAACACAGAGTCTCTCGAAAGCAACCAAACGTCGGTATTGTATTCAGTATCAGGTATCCAATTAGTATTACCTTACCTTATATACCTTACTTGAGGTGAGTCTCATATTGTAAAAAAGGTATTCCGGTCTCAACAGCAAGTATTCCGAGTCCACCTGCAATACAGAACAACAGTTGAGCGAAGGACAAAGAACGAATTTCCGAGGTCAAAAATGGATGAGTTGTCCGTCTCCACGCTTGGCATTACACGATAATGGCGGAGCGTACATTGCACAGCCCCCTCGACAAATTCTTGGCAATGGAACCGTAAAAGTATTATACGGTTTGAGTTGTTGTTTTTTTTTGTTTTCTCCCCAGCAGCGGGCGCTCGCTGGACGCTCTTCAAATTCTCACCATGTTGTAATGCAACGGTGAGAAGATCACTCGGCACAGATATTGCCGGGTTGGCAAGCTTGTTGCGGTCAAGCTTTTGTAACCTTGGAAAATAAGCATTTATCAGAAAGCTTGTCGTTTTTCTTATTTAATTATCTGGACCAGGAGGTTTACAAGGGCTGATGAGTGGTGAGCTTGGCATTATTGATGTTGTGCTGTGTTGTCTTGTGAGATGAGGGTCTGCGGACTGGGGATATCATCATACGGATGATGGCCAACAAGGCGTAGGTAATTGGTATGTGTCAGACTTGATTCGTTGACGGAACAATATTGGTCTTTTTACTCTTCATAGATTTCTCCTTCACATGTACTCTCATGGATGACTAGGCGTGTGTGGGCCCAGGCTCTATCGTTATGTTGAACCTTTGAGCATGGCGAGCAAAACAATTGTTCAATCTCATTTCCACGTCCTAGTATATAAAAGTTAAGCCTGGCAATGCTGACTCTCAACGCAGGTCTCATTTAATCCCAAGCATCACTCGGTCGATTCGTCGTGCAGTCCTTTGGGTATACAAATATCCTTAATCATGCCCTTTATTGCAGCCCTTTCCTTCATGATGAAGGGACAGGGAATCACCTCTCGTTGTTTTTCTCGTCAAAGCAGATGCACATTGCTACCATGAGAGCCATGTCGACGCCGGGCTTAACTTCGAGAGTATATGTTTGTTGGCCAAGTATCAAATCGTGGCCGGTGACTCTGCGGCTGATACATGCGACCACGCTGTCCGTGAGCGTGTCAACGATGCTGGCAGTGTAGTCGTGCCACTTGCCGTTCATCTCAAGAATCTCTGCTGAACCGTTGATAGAGTTAAATGTAGCTGTGGCGCTGGAATTGAAGACTAAAATACATCAGAGATAGATGCCACGACGACTATCACGGGAGGACTCACGCCGGAGGTTGCTCCTCACATTGACAAGTTTCGTTCCTTGAGGATCTTCCACAGCATACGTGGTATGGATATGGCAGTGTTCCTTGACGATGGAAAAGAGATGGGTGCCTCTCATGTCATTGACTATCTTGCGTCCAGACACGCTCATCACCTTGCCCTCTACCGTGAGGAGAGGCTGACCATTGATATGATAAACCTCAAAGTCATCGCCGGTGAGAGACATTGTCTTTTCTCTGACGATGAGAGTCTCTGTCCGGTTGGTGATGTAGGCTGGGAAGATGCCGATCAGGTGTGGCGTCAGCGCAGCTGGATATTGAACCAGCGCCATTGTTGCTGTTGAGGTAACAATGATGTATCAAGATGATATTGTTGAACTAGGTACCTTATAGTGAAGAGGAGGAGATGGAAAGTGCTATGAAGGAGAGTTTAAGGTGCGTGTTTTATTGAAGGGTCGCCAAAGAGGAATACTTACCTACTTTAGTATTTAGAAACGCCGTCACAGCTAAAGGGAAAGTCACAAGGAATTGGCTTGAGTTGAGACAGAAATGTAGGTGCTTCATCGATGGCAGTCGCACGTTGCCTTGCGCTTGCCTACTACATAGTAGGTTTGATCACCTCAACCGATGGTCCTCAAACGTACCAACTTCACGAGATTGGCAATTCATTAAAAGATAAATCCGTGAATCGATGAATGGGCATAGAATTGATGACATGATAAACTCGGAGCAAGCTTCTAATTCATCAATCCGCCTCGACGGAACCCTTTATTTGTTATCGATCCTTCAGATGTTTTGTGTCAATACTTGGCTAAAAATACACCGATCGGCATGGACATCAGTCAGTTTTGCGGCTGTACTACGATGGCTAGCAGAACATGTTTATTATCAATTATGGATCCTTCTTCATGAGTGTAACTGCTTGATACTACGCATAACTAGAGGCAGCCGGACGATTGATACGACGATGATAATCCACCAAGCGCGATAGTATTGTGACTCAACTCAAACAGTCGAACAAGTTATCACCAAGTACCACAAACGCAGGGACAAACAGCTTTTGAATTGGCTTGGAGCTTATAAAATGTACTAATCTAAACATATACTTTATCAGCTAAGAACATGTACTGCACCATCTTAAGGTCAGAGGCAGACTTTACTGAGGTTCTTGTAAATCAACGTCACCTACCTACCCTAGGAGGGCCAATCATGAAGCAGCGAAATGTTTAGACATGGAAACATCAGATGCACAGAACAGTCACGTGAGTATTCTGACAGTCCTGTGAACAAACTCGGTCTGGTGTGTCTAGTGGTATGATTCTCGCTTAGGGAGAACCCTATAGCATAGCTTGCGAGAGGTCCCGGGTTCAATCCCCGGCCAGACCCTTTTCTTTTGCTCTATCTGTTCTATCTGTTCTCCATGTTCGCTCGTGGTTTTGTTCTTTTTGCGCTGTTGTTCGACTTGATGTTATTACAGCTGCTCGAGCTGGGACGAAATGCCCGGCCCCACTTGAGCCGAGCCAATTATGTAGTAGAATTGCGGGACGAAAGTTTAACATGAAAGCCATTGTGAACGGTTAACAGTTGGTAAAGGCAACAATGAATATAGCACACACAGAGTTTTGCAAGAGTTAGAAGAAAATAGAGCCAACCATTGTCTATCCTAATCTACCCATAACTAATACAAGAAACAGATCTCGGGCGCAAGATAAAAGTCAAGACACGCAATGGGCGTCATTTAACCCACGATCCATTCAGGATATTTACAGAGCGAATAGGGCAAGGAAAGCAAGGACGGCAGTGGAGACGCCGAGAGAAGCAGCACCGTTGGTGATGGTGCTGGGAGTCTCAGCAGGGGCAGAGCCAGACTCGGAGGCGGAACCGGAACCGGAGCCAGATCCAGACTCAGAGCCGGAGCCAGATCCAGAGCCCTCAGAGCCGGAGCCAGACTCAGAGCCAGAGGTAGACTTAGAACCAGAGCCAGTAGCGGTGGCAGTGCCAGTAGTTTCCTCATCGCCGGAGCTAGTAGCAGAGGCAGTAGAGGTGGTGAATGTAGCGGTGGAGTTAGAAGCGTGAGTGGACTTGGAAGCACTGGACTCGGTCTTGGTCTTGGAGTGGACGGCAGAGCTGGTGGTCTCATCATCAACCTTGTCGCAAGAGAGATCGAAGAGAGGAGTGGTGGAGAGGTTATCAGTGATGGCGAACTTCATCGTGTTGTCGGGGTTGGAGTCGCGGAGAGTGTACCAGAAAGTGGGGGTCTTGTTGAAGAGGTACTTGCAGCCAACGTCTTGCCAGTACTTCTGAGCGTTCTTCACACTAGGAACAGCCTCATCCCAGTTGGGACCCTTGTAGGGCCAGCCAGTCTCAGTGACCCAGACAGGCTTGCCACCGGAGGCGGCGATGGTGGCCTCGTACGCCTTGTTGAAGAGCTTGGCAGCGTTGTCGATGCTGTTGCCCTTGTCGTTCTCATAGTAGGGGTACTCATCCACACCGATGAAATCGATGGCGTCGAGGACGGCCTTGTTGGTAGCGTTGCCCCAGACGTCCCAGGTGTCGACGTGGCCGACGGGGATCTCGCCAATGGGGGTACCCTTGAAAGCCTTCTTGAAGTCGTTGATGAAGTCAACGAGGACATCAGGCTGAACACCGACACCACCCTTGTTCTTAACGCCAGTAACGGAGTTACGGTAGAGATCCTCGCTACCAACGGAAACACCGATGACGAGGTCGGTCAGCTTGGAGCCGTACTTGTCGACAGCCTTCTTGAGGGCGCTGATCTCCTTGTCGATGTTGTCAGTGCCGGAAGTCCAGACACCAAGAAGGATCTCCGTCTTGGTGTCGATGGCAGCCTCGAAAGCTTCAATGGGGTCATCCTCGGAGTAGGCCTGGATGTTGGTGTAGAGTCGGACGGCGCTGAAGTCGCCGGGAGCGGTCTTCAGGTTCTGAGCAGTCTCGAACTCAGCCTGGAAGTCGGCCTTGAACTTGGCGGCACGGTTGGCGAGGGTGGCACCAGAGTTGAAACCGAGGTAGTTCTTGGCCTCAACGCCGAGGGCGAGGGCACCAGCAGCGAGGGTAGCAGAAACCTTCATGTTGGCGAATATAAATTATCGATTCTCGGGTAAGTGATCGATATGTGGTGTAAGCCGGTTGGTATAACGTCGAGCAAGGTGATACCAGCCGGAAGCTAATTCTATTAAAAGAGCGTGAGTGTGATTATTCGGAAATGGTAATCAAGAAAGAAGCCGTTCTGGCAGTTAAAAGAGAGTGACGAGGAAGTAAGAATGCCGAATCCGAAAAGAGAATCCAGACAACAAAAAGGAAATGATGGACGGATTGGAAAAAAGATGGGCAGTTGATCAAAGAATGAGGAAAGGCGCTTTGTTTTGCTTTCGGAACGCGGTGAGATTAGGTCGGGGGCGCTGCAGCGGACGTGGAGCCGTCACGTGCCGGACAGGCACTAAGTTCCCGGTTTTTCAGGGGAAATGCTTACGACGCTGGTCCACTGGGTTATGGTTAACGTGCCGTTGGCCGCTAAGAATAGAAGGGCATTTCTTGGAGGTGGGTGCTCATTGGACATCAACCCCAGCTTCTCCTGTTTCGTACCCAAGGAGCAATTTTGCAATGCGTGATCGTCGATAAAACAATCGAGATGAGTGTTGCTACGCATTCTTGAGAAATGAACATGATGACTCTCGTTTTTCGTATTGAGAGATTTGATGCCACCGCATTGTTTATCTGTCAAGCCTCTTCCGCAGCCCTCGTCTAGACAGCAGAGAGTTCCAACGGTGTGCCCTTATCTCAAAGAATCTGATTCGTTGCAGTGGCATGACTTAACTTACGCAAGGAACAATGCAACCAATTCTTGAGAACGGATGGAAGCTAAAACAAATGCAGTGCATCAAAGTTTATCCTTGAGCCAATCTCCAATGCACTCAAGATAAGTCCTGGGATTGAGTTCCTTGGTAGCCAATCTAGCCAATTTCTGTATACGAAGCCAAGCATGGGATTTAATTTGATGTTTGAGATATACAGAATGCGACCAGCTATATTTCACCGCCTGGATCCTCCAGTTTCTTTGTTTTTGATGCTCTTGGACTTGAGCCTCAGACATCCCTCTTTGATGCAAGAAGCAATTCTTTGTCGTGGCGAGCGAATTCCTTGGCACTTCAGGCGCTAAATTAGCTGAGGCTGCGGGTGACGATGGTGGGCTAGTGCGTTATAAACTCCCCCTTGAAGTGGAGAATACGATACTTGGGCTTGGCTGGCACGGCTTTGAGGCCGATTGATCCGTTCGTGAATTGGGACCGCTACAGATGAAGTCAACCAAGATGAAAGAGGCTCAATTGAGCAATCCTTCAACATACGGTTACTACCTATTATTGTTGCCTAGCATACCCAACAGATACTGACTGTACATGTATTTGTCCTGTTTATGCTGATCAATATGCTGCCGTCTTATCACGTGTTGTTAAGATTAGGCGCTGATCCTGGATCTAATGTCTCACCAAGAAATGCCGCTATGACTTCGGTTGGGCTTTAGTCCAGCATAGTTTTAGCCACGCCTATCCAATGGTCATCATCATCAGGAACAATAATATTGTTGATCAAGCAAAAGGTATCGCTAAGTCATGACATGGCTCCATTCACAGATCGTCACGTCGCAGGAGGCCTCCCAACTGCAACCTCAGCACTTAATCTAGTGCTTCTCAGCTTCAGGCTTCTCGTGAGCCATAAAGACCTCATCCTCGTTGATATGGTACTTGGCAGACTTGCGTGCCGGGATACCCTTCTGGAACTGTTCAAATTCGTTAGCTGCGTTCTCGGTCCTCGTGTTCAGCTGCTTACCATGTAGTCCATCTCACCAAAGGTACGGTCTTTTGTTTCGAACATACGGAAATAACCCCAAGTCAGAGTGAGAGTGGCAAGACCTGCCCAGAAGAAGGCCTGTAGCATGTTAGCGTTGCATTGACACTCGTATCGATTGGGCTGGATTGACCGTCTTGCCCTTGAGGTTCCATGATCCTGGAGACAACATCTCGGGCTGGATGAGACCTCCGCAAATGATGTTACCAACATAATACGTTGAGCGAGCCAACACAATTGTCTGTGTACGCAGACGAGTCGAACCGACCTCAGCAACGATAGTGTAGATGATGGGACCGACAGACATGGAGTATGCTCCCAACCACACAACGCAGAGGATTGATTGCGCCCAAGCTAAAGACAGAGTCTGCTTGGGCAGCGCTAGGAAGCCAATAAGCCAGAGAATTACGACAAGGAATGAGAAGCCAGAGAGCCAGATCGTTCGTCGACCGAACTTGTAGATGTAGAACCACGAGATGATGGTACCGATGAAGGCGATGCCAGTTCCACCAAGAGCAATACCGTAAGAAGCAGAGGGACCAATACCAGTCTGTTGGAAGAAGAACGATCCACTATAGCAAAGAGCACCGCCGTTGGTGATTTGAGAGAGGAAACCCATGCAAGCGATCTCGGTTCGTCGAAGGTTACTACCTCGGAAGCAGTCCCAGTAAGAAGTACCAGAACGCTCCTCAATCTCAAGCTTGTTTGTGTGGACCATGAGCGCAACGGCGTTCTCGTAGTTGATGTTGTGTTCCGGTTCGGACAGTCGCTCGAGGGATATCTTGGCCTTCTCGAGCTGGTTCGTTCGGACGAGATGCCAGGGCGACTCGGGGGCCATGTATGCTGCGATGGCGAGAGGAATAGGCCACACCCATTGGACCGCAAAGGGAATTCGGTAGCTCCATGGGGTAGGGTTGTCAACTAGACCTTTGAGTACACCAGCTGAGATGAACTGCCCAATGCACCAGCACAGGTTAACATAGGCAGTGAGATATCCTCGAATAGCAAGAGGAGTGACCTCAGCCGCGTAGGCGGGACCAGTAGTAGCGAAGATTCCCCAAGGAATGTTGCAGAGGAATTGACCGACGAGAAGGACCTCGATGTTGGGGGCGAAGAAGACGACAAAGATGAAGGCAGTGAGCCAGAAGAGGCCACTGATGAGAACCTTGCGGTGTCCCCATCGCGAGGTAGCCCATCCGTTCAGAAGAGCACCGATGATGTTGGCGAGGGCACCGAGACAGTTGAAGCGCTGCTGCCAATTGGCCGAGATCTGATGTCCATTCTCCTTGTCGAGATATTCGCCGTACTTCTCTCGGAATCGTGGGTAGCCGTAGAAGGAACCGAGGAGGGTAACATCGTAGCCCTCCATGATGACAGTAGTCGAGATGACTGACAAGGACCTGTTAGCTATCTCGGCCTCAACAGTTCAATGGTAAGCACCCACGGATAGACCAAAAAGCAGCGCGCTTGTAAGTCTTGAAACCCTGCCAAACGGTAAAGCTATGCTCATCGGCCGTGGCTTCAAGAGCCTCATTGGCGAGAGCTTTGTCGTGAAGGTCTACATTCTTGAGATGGTCAAGACCAGCATCGGTGCTCTCAACATGGGGCTGGATCTCCCCAGACTGCTTTTCGGCTACCATGATGAACAGATTCGTCGCTTACCAGCAGCAGACTACTTGCAATGAGGTTTGAGAGGCTCATGATGCCCTTCACCGGAGATGGACATGTTATATCGTCCCTCATCAATAGTTCTCCGCATGCAGAGATGATCCTCGAGGCCGGGAACCGGTTCACATCGCCGTAGAAATAGGATCGACGGCCCGTGTTAGTGAAGCTATCTCGTAGTTGAACTTCCCCGCGATTGGTGGAAGATCCTGCGGGGGAAGAAGTTGGTGATGAGGGATGAAGTGGTCAACATCGATCGTTAGTGGACCGGATAATAGCTTGACCACTAATATGCCTTTCTCCTCCCCAGCTTCATCATCCTAGAGAGGCGGGGAATCTGGGGTAGTTTCTGGGGGATGGTGGGTGATCATCAGATGTCTTGGTCTTGAACCCTGTTTCTCTGTACGTCGGCCGATGTTTTTAGACAGGAATATACCAAAAACGCCAGTTCAAACGTCACTTCTGTCATTTATTATAGTCTAATCCGGATAAATATGACTCGAGCAATCCTTCAGAGATAGCTTCAAGTTTCGTCTGCATCACAAGATGGCTGACACCCAGGAACAGGTCTTCCTCGGCTGCTACTGTACCACACATGGACGATCACAAGCATCGCGTGATTCGTGAAGAAATTCCCAATGCTACGACACCCACTTATACGCGCTTATATGCGATTCGTCTTGTCTTAAGCTTGGCCTATATGCCTTCAATTAAGGTACCACGATCATGAGGCTTATCTTCTGGAAAGCGATCCAAATTTGACAATCCTCCCCCAAATGTGATTGGGGGTTTGTAGTAGTCTCAGTCTTTGCTCTCTCTCTCTCTCTCTCTCTCTCTCTCTCTTATTCCCTATTTTCCGATGGCCGCTAGTAAGCAGCCACTTTTCTGCCTCCTTAGCAATGCCTCACCATCACTTTCGTCTTCTCATTTAACCATTTACACGGTTAGAACCGACTTACCCCGTTGCTTAGCAGCCACAAGCTCCCCACGCTTCGAGGCACAAGGATGAGGTGGTTGGGTTGCACCTAGACATGGCAGTCAGGGCTTACACCCATTCACTCAATGCACGACTGCGGCACTCACGAACTCAGGCTAATTTCCCTTGGCAAATCCATCTTCAGCCCGAGCAAATCAAAAGTTCCTCACATCTGAATACGCAATACAGAGACGCAGCTCGGTAGATCTTGACCCGAGTCGGTGGAACCAAAGTTTGAAGGCAGCCATCGAACCACGCTTAATTGGCCATGATTCAAGGAATTAAACATCAGGTGAACTGTCACTCTGCAGTAGCTTCTTGATTTACTTCCTGCATTCTGCTACTTTGAGGGGTTTGATCGGCTGACGGGTTACATTGCCGGCGGATCATTCTGCAAGTTTCCGAATAAGCTCGAGTCTCTACTGACAGACGTTGTCCCCTCGTTCGTATAGTTCCATGCCCTCGGCTGTACTGAATGAAGATAAATGAACCTCCCATCACTAGCCAAACTACTCAATCAGAAGAAAGAAACCTAGTTGAGACTGATGACCTCAACATTTCGAACTTGGAAAGTTGTCGCTATGA